ACTCCGAGGGCTTGTCTGTCTAGAAGGTTCCACTCATCTACCTTCATAGAATTTGGCTTTTTCCCTGATAGTGGTTGATACAGATTTTTCTGATACAGATAATCCTCTATCTGTATTTTCCAGAATCCAAAATCTGTTCCATCAAACTTCTCAAGTCTTATTTTTCCTTCATCTGCAGCCATGGCTCCCACTTGAATCTGACTTCCTCTAGATCGTTTCACGCTCTGATACCAGTTGTTAGGAATTTACGCCGAAACCCCTAAGACAGCAGAAATACAGAATAGAAAAGGTACACCAAGATTTAATGAGGTTTGGCAACTACCAACGTCCTCGGGAGCCACACAACTAATTTCTTATTAATCCCAACAAGGAATTACAATTCAAGAGCGAATCTCAAACTTAAGATTCCTCAATAAATATAATCTTTCACTGTAGCTACAGTGAAGATTTCCTTCTTCATTAATACCCCTTTAATTTCCTTCACCCCTCTTTAATTCCCTTCTTAAAGTCTCCCCACAAATCCTTCGCTGGAGAGAAAAAAGGGAACGAAACAGAGAGAGAAAGAGAGGTCCGCCGCCAAAGGGGGGTTTTCTTAAGATCGCGAGAGAGGAAGCTATGGGGCTAGCGCACAAGGTTTCCCTTTTATAGGGAAACCCTAGGATAGCTGGCGACAGGCTGTCGTTGCCTGTCAACGATCTTGCCTATGAGGAGCTCGAGCTCGCCTGTCTCTTGTCGAACTCGCCTGTAAAAAGTTCTCTAATCTCGCCTGCAACTTGTTGCGAGCCCGCCTGGAGTTCGCCAACTCGACCTCGCCTGCTCGAGCTTGTCCAACTTCGCCTGAAACTTCTCACCTTCAAATCTCGCCTGTTGGTTTCCTCGAGCTTGCCTGAAGGTCGTGAGCTCGCTTATAGTTGTGGACTTCGCCTTTAAGGTTTGGTTGACACTCCAATTCCAACAAATAGCAGCTCCAATTAACATTGGTTGATGTAATTTCTGAACCTGTAGATGATTATATACAGTTCAAAAATAGATATTGGCAAATTTAGCAAGCATGTAACAAACACATAGTAATAAATAAGAACTAAGAGAGACTTCCCCATGTGTTAAATAAACTTCGATGCAAAATCGCCTAAAAAGTTCATTCATTATCTAACCTCGAGAACAACAAGGAAGTCGTAGGTGTAGGCGTCCAAAATTGCCTACAAAGTTCCCGTACGCAGCTCGAGGCGAAAGTCAAACGATAAGCGTCATCATTCAAGTCAGGAAATGATTATCCAGCCCCGTGGAAGCTAACGAATCTACAAAGTGAGTCATTGGAGTGTACAGGTCAACGGAATGACAAAATACGCAATGCAAGTCCGAAGAAGTCAGAAAATGTCAAACACCTCAAAGTGGCCCGCACAAAGGTTTGACATTTTGACCATGATACAAATTTGATCTGGAAAAATTCAAAAAATAAAAGTTTAAGGTCTCTTCATCAGCTTTCTAATGCATCTTGAATCACTTCATTCCGAGGTCGGATGAGTGAGTTAAGGTCGCTATAGTAACTCCGGGACGCTCAAGTCCGACCCGCGCTACAGTCCGACCCGCGCTATAGTGATCCGACCCGCGCTATAGTGATCCGACCCGAGCTATAGTGATCCAACCCACGCTACAGTGATCTGACCCACGCTATAATTTGAATCTGAAGAAACTCAAAAGATAAAAGTTGTAGGTATCTTTGTCATCTTTCCAACGCATCTTGAATCAGCTCAATCCGAGGTCGGACGAGAGAGTTAAGATCAAAATACTGAAGATGTCTCAATCCGACCCCCGCGCCGATGGGTCGGACCAATCCGACCCGCGCGACGGTGGGTCGGGTCGGATCAGTCCGTCTCGCGCCCAGAACTGCCCGTAACCTTTAAAACACGTTTTTAGGCTGTTTCGATCGGTTTCTTCTGTTCCAGAGGTTTCTAACTGCCTAGATATCATCTACAAACATGGTTACGCCATTATTGACTGAAGATAAGGCCAAATTACTCATTCTTATCCGAAAACCCCCAAATGAAGCCTATAAGTACAGGCCTAGGGGCTCATTTCATAGGGGCGGATTAATTATTAAGAGGAGGAGGTGCTGCCGGATTGAGGAGTCAAAGGAGCATGAATTTCAGCGAGGGTTGACAGATCTTGGCGAGTTCTTCGGCATAAAGAAGGAGAGTTCGAGAGATCCGACGCCCGTTTCCCCTATTTTCTTGAGATTAGGCTTGGTCTTGATCTCGAGAAGAGCTACTGATTTCGTTTGGTCGATCTATGTGCTTCAAATCAAATACTTCCTCGACGAAGGCGGAGCTCTGCCGAATTTTCAACAACCGGATCTGATCGACGGTCGTCCCCGGATAAACCCCGGCACAGGCAAAGATCACACGCAAAGTAGTGGGTGATAAACGTCCTCTGCATTTTGTTTAAACGAGAATTGTATCTTTTATTTTCATTGTGTAAAGGTCTTATAAAAAGACCGATCTTTTTAAATTTATTGTAACAACTGAAGTTGTGATGAGTTATACAATGAATATAACAATTTTCGACGCAAACAGTAGGTGCATCACTTATGAAAAGGAATCCCAACAGTATGGTTTGAAAGTTATTCATAAGCGTACAAAGAAACAATTGGCTAAAGTATATCCATCAATCATCCAACATAAAAAGAAATAGAAAACAAGAAACGGTAAAATGAGTCCATTTAGAGTTCACAAGTAGTGTAGACTAGTGTGTAGAACCAATCAGCCTCTTCATAGTTGAGGGTCTGTACAGGGCTCGATAACAAGAAATTGTGCATGAAAATCTCAACAACAAACATATGGTTGAGGCATCTTTGGTTCTTCTGAAGAATCTTCTTGTTGTATTTGATAGGCAGCTCATAAACGAATACTTTCACCCTTCCAACACGATCATCTTCAAGAAAGTCGCCTCCCTACGATTTTGAAGATTCAAACAATTATGACCATAAGTACATTCAACATGTGAAGTTATAAGAGTGCAAATAAAAAATAAATAAAATTGAAAGGAAAGTGTAGGTGATGGAAACATCAAGAAAAAAAATTCAAATAATAAATAATGAGATGTAAAAACATTAATAAATGGAACTAGCTGTAAATAAGATGTATCGGTCAACTAATGTACGTATATTTGTGAACAATTAAACATTAAACTACCTAGTTATTTGACAGGTTAGCAACAAGGGAATTAGTGCAACTACTTTATAATGTCCATTTTTACCACATCTACCGCATGTCCTCTTTTTTATCTTCTTTTTTTTCTGTGCTTGTTCAAGTCCTGATTTCAATCTGCTAATTATTCTCGGTCATCCCTTATATTTTGTAGACTCGAGAGGGTCACGAACAATGATTTGAGGGAGTTTCTCAATGGTATGAGAAGGAGGAGTACTAGAGTCAACCCGACTTGTAGCTTCAGTCCCCTTGATTTTCATAGCACTAATATCTTTTTCATGTTTTTCCATAAAGTTAGAAAAATATATATTTATTTCATCAAAGGCCATAGGTGATTCAGGTGCCCACTCTATCACATTATTAAATTTTGCTCTCAAAGCCGAAGAGCGCAAAATATTCCATTGTTCTCTATTACTATTAAAGTTTTTTTCCTGCAACACATTAGAGACTCCAATATTACGGTACATTGCATTCGTTGTCCATCTATGCATAATGTATTCTTGAGGAATTCTTACCAACTAATTCGATATCATAATATAAATGGCATGCCTACATAATATTCCATCAGTCTCAAACATAGCACATGTACATGTTATTCTCTATTTATTTTGATTATAAACTACATGCTCTCATACACTTCTTTCAGTAGAGAGCGAGCCAACTATATATTTAGAAAATGATACTTCTTTTTCCATCTCATCATGAAACAAAGATACAGAACCTTTAAGCTCATCTTAAAAGCTCTCAAATATAGCTCTTGTATATGACTCTCCAGCTTGAATCTCAATCGGATGGTTTAGATGCATCACAGTCAAATATAGCTCTTGTATATGACTCTCCAGCTTGAATCTCAATCGGATGGTTTAGATGCATCACAGGCTTTGTATTCAAAGTAGCAATCTCAATCGGATGGTTTAGATGCATCACAGGCTTTGTATTCAAAGTAGCAAAATCTTCACTTAATTCTTAAAAATGATGCGACAATATTGCTTTATCATATTGCTCAACAAAATCAGGCAACAATGTTTGTAAGTTGACGTATGTGTCAAAGAAGGCATTTATACTTTCACTACGTTGGTTTGATGTCATTCCTGCAAAGAAAGTATCTTTGAGATAGCATGAAACCCAATGTGTTCTTTTTTGTACATAGTTTGTAACCAACCTTCCTCATTTTCTTCTATATTGAACTTTTCTTTTAACTCATCCCATTGCTGAATACATGTTTTCAATTGTCTTGCTATGCCACTATCTATTAAAGTAGTTTGCAAACTCTTCTCCATGAAACTTTTGTAGAGATAATAAATGATCAACCATGTGCTTGCCAAGATGCGATTTTCAATAGTGATATCGAGTATTTGGAAACACTCTTTGAATGGCGTTGCATATAGCTTTGTCCTGGTCTATAATAATAGCATGCGGAGCCACTCCATTCATACATTTAATCCACTCAGTAAACAACAAGACAAATGTGTCTTCTTCCTCATCTGCAAGTAGCGCACAACCAAATAAAGTTGACTGCCTATGGTGGTTAACACCAATAAATAGAGCAAAAGGCAGTGCCAACTTGTTAATTCTATATGTAACATCAAAAATGACAACATCATGAAACTTAAAGAATGATGCCCTTGCCCGTCCATCTGCCCAAAATACACTCCTCATAGTTCCTGTAGTATCTAATTCAATAGCAAAATAAAAATCTGGATCAAATGCCCTTTTATCTATGAATTTTTGAATGACTAATATGCATTCATTACCCATGTTATTCTTTCTCTATTTTCTGATATGATCACTACATTATTGCGGTGTGACGATTTCCTCTTGACTCCCACTACCAACATTTATTACTCGTGAAATTGTAGGTGGCGGAAGCCCTTCTTCATGCAAACTACCAATCAGACTTCGACAACCTTTTGTTCGATGTAACTTTCGATGTGAATAATGATTCTTAACCTTATCTGGACTAGTCAACTCGTGATTTGTATGCTCATTAACAAGTTTGCTCACTATCCATGTACCTTTATCAATTCGATTGACCGCCAACATCACCTTGCAACCTACTCTAGTATCTCTTCGACGCTTAACTATTTTTCCATGTTCTCTCTTATCATTTGTAGATTTTTGGCCCTCCTTATTACATACAAATTTCTTTGATATGAGTTCTTTTCCTTCTTTCCTAGAGTAATTACCTAAGCTTATGCGGACACTGAATCCTTTTATTTTTGCATAATCATTGTAATAATATACGCAGCAGTATATCTGGGAAATTCTATTCCAATCCATGGTATTGGACTTGCCATTATCAATATAATGAACATGATTAATTTTCTCTTGTTCCAGCTCATGCTCTGTATTACTACAATCAACAAATCCACTTCCTTTCACATTATCAGTCATCAAATTGTCTACATGAACATCAACCATATTGAAATTGACATAAACAACATTAATTATTTTCTATTAGTATAATTATATCATTCAAAGATTGAAAATACATCAAACAGCTAAATAAAACATTAAAGAAATTACACAACACATGCAAAATTTTAGTAATTAAAATTAAAATTCAAGAACAAAAAAATTGTAAGAATTTTGAACTATGAGAAGATTTGCAAAATAAAAAAAATTATAATTTAGTTTTATTTAAAGATATAAAATCTCGTCAGATAATAAAACACTCTATAATCACATCGACAAGAAAGCAATTCATCAATATTCACACAGATAATAAAATAATAAACATGGAAAATGCGATCATATTGATAGAACTGAAGCTAGCAGACATTACTTATTCCTTTTTCAACCCAGATAGACATAGATAATACACGTAGTGAGTAAATTATTATGAAGGTTCTATCCTCCCTTGAATCTTAATAAATATTTTATAACTCTAAAATATTGCCTCTAAAGATTTTCAGAAAGTTAGGAAAAACCTACTGGAGTTTATAAAGCTTTCATTAGGGCGGTTATTATGAACAGAGATTGTGTTTGATAACATGATCAGTAAGTTCATTGGGTCAGATAATGTATTTGCCAATTCAACTTGTATTGGTGTTAAAAGCGGAGTGAAGCTACATACAGAATAATATCCTTTTTATTTAGGTTACGATCAGATATTTTTCCGTGCTCT